ACGACTCACAAGACCTCGTGACTCACCTATAGTCCCAGCACTTGAAACTCACCTATAGTCCCAGTACTTCAGAGGCTGAGAAAGAAGATTTTCCACAAGTTCAAAGTCAACCTGGGCTACGTCGTAAGTTTCAGATCAGTCCTGGTAACAGAATGAGACCCTGTCTCAAAAGCCAGTCAACACACAAAGATAAAAAAGAGAAAGGATACAGGCCAGAAGGCTCGAGATGTGATGGTTATGACCAGCGTGTTTGCAGTGGATGTGTTAAGAAATGCTCGGACTTTGAAGATATGTGTTTTGAATATGGGTTTGAAGCCTAAAATATGAAAGGAAGGGAGATGTAGAGGCTAGTTTTAAAGTTTCAGGCTTCAGCAGCTGGAGGAATTCGGTTGCAGTAACTGAGATGAGAAGGCCGCATTCTGTTGGAAGTATGAGCCTCTGGGTTTACAAACCGCCTTTATTTCTCAAAAGTGTTTCATTAGTTATCAAAGTACCTGGTTCCTTCAGTACCGTGACAGGCTTGTTCTCGGGGACCCCTGTGGACACCAGGGATGCTCCCATCCCTTTTATAAAATGGTGTACTATTACACTGCCTGTCCCGCGCTACTGTCTCACCAGCAAGAACGTAGGATCCTTCTGCAGAACAGCTTTTTAATGCATCTTGAGAGCGAGAGCATAAGCCAACATGGCGGAGACCCAGAGCGAGGTGAACCCAGCCCTTATATAGGAAACAGTCCCCGCCTCGGACGTGTCACTCTCAGATTGGTCAGCTGCCCATCATCCCAGATGACGCCTCGGGAGAGGCAGGGACTACAGCGTTGGAAATTTACCAACACATGCGCGTTATCCTGTTCACCGGGCAGGGGAACCGGATGTCAGCGCCATCTTGCAATGGCGAATGTGGTTGCGGTCCTCTACAACTGCCAGCATAATTTATGTAGTCTATTTAGCCAAATTGCTAGTACCTAGTGTAATGTAAATGTTATACCACGAGATGCATAACCAATACAGATGCAATGTTTTAAATGTTTCCTGCTTGAGGTTGCCTGAATGTGGACAAGGGGGCCTCAGATAAAGACCGTGTTCCACACTGATAGGTGATTGTTTTGAACTCTGAGGGAGCTTTCCTCGTAAGAAGCTGGTAAATGCGAGAACCTCGCCACCCACAACTGCTGAGCTCTTGTTGGCACGTCATGGGTGTCTGAACACAGTGATCCATGCTGGTTCTGGGGCTGCAGTACTGGAATTGTAGGAATTATGTCTTGCTTAGCTATCTTCCTTACAGAGAGTTTCCGCGGTAACTATCCACTGTCCTCCACAGGGAATACTTCACTCTCCTGTTCTATTTCTACGAATAGTCTAAATCTCAATCTAAGTGCTCCTGTCTTCTCGTTCATCTCTTCTTGTTGTAGCTGTCTTGTTGGTTTGCTTTTTGAGACAGGGTTTCTCCGTGTAGTCTGTAGACCAGGAAGGCCTTAAACTCAGAGATCTACCTGCCTCAGCCTCCCAAGCACCAGTATTAAAGGCGTGCACCACATTTTCCCATACTCTATTTCTTGAGACAGGGTCTATCACCGAACCCTGAGCTTGCTAGTTTAGTTTATTTGTCTAGCAAGTAAACCCTGTAGGGAATCTCCCTGTCTCCTCACTGGTGCTGAAATTATAGGCACACACACTGCTGCAGCAGGTGTTTCTTTTATGTAAGTGTTGTGAAAATGAACTCACACCCTCCTGTTTGCACAGCACCATTCAAGCTCTCTCTCCAGCCTTGGAAATGTGTCGATTCTATAGAGTTTGTTTGATTTTTAAGACTGCAGAATTCTACGATGACAAGATGGCCCGATAGGTAAACACACTTGTTGCTATGTCTGCCTGCTTGTGTTGTTTATTGTTATTATTTAATTTTATGTGTATGGCTGTTTTGCCTACACTTATATCTGCATACCATTTATGTTCCCGATGCCCCACAGAGACTAGAAGAAAGCATAGGGAACCCCTGGAATGGGAGCTACAGATATTTGTGAGCTGCCATGTAGATGCTAGGAATCAAACCGAGGTCCTCTAGAAGAGCAGTCAGTGAGCACTAACAATTGAGCCATCTCTCCAGCCCCTGAGTCTGATCCTCAGGACCCACATGCTAGGAGTGGAGAACAAATTCCCACAATGTTCTCTGACCTCTACAATAATGTCACACATATGCATAAAATGTAGTGTATGTGGATATATCTGTGAACAAGAAAGTAAAAGTCAATTTTTTAAAAATCATAAGATTCTGTTTTTACTGCCATGATCTGTTCTACTTTTTTTTTCTTTTTGCTTTATTGTGTTATAAATGGAAGCTAGGGCTAAACAAATGCTCTAACAGTGATAAACACATACACACATACACACATACATACATGCACACATACACACACATGCATACATACACACACACACACACACACACACACACACATATACACAGCATTCTTTTTCATCTTGACAGCAACATGAAATCATGTGTTAGAGTTGATGGGACACATGGAAGTAGTATCGTTCAATTTACTGTCTTAATTGGGTAAGTTACCCAGTTCGTTGTCAAAACCTTCCCAACATCAGAGACCCTATTTATACGATGTGGCAATCTAGCCATCAAATTGCCAGGATATTCTTTCTTTCATCTGGTTAAACTTGTCTCTTCTATGGCTTCTACCCACACACCCCTGGAGATGCAAAAAGCACAACCGTTTTAATCAAACATCCAGGGATTCGTTCCCGAGTAGCCTCAATCTATCCATGTGACAATAACTCAGAATCATATCCATTCAACCACTTATTCTGTTGTGGGAAACGAAGGTGTTGAACCAGTTCATACATCTTCTGGCTTTTAAATGATAGGTTTTTTAAGTGCCCTTCAGGAATCTCAGGTGGGGTTGTACAGTTGGTAGAGTGTTTGCCTATTGTCCTACTTTTATTTTTGCTATCGTGACCAAATGCCCTTGCTGATAGCTACGTAAGGTATTCCCACATGAATTAAGACAGTGAAGATGATCCCTCAGAGCCACATTCACAGCCCAACCCAAACTAGATGATTCCTCATCGAGATTCTCTTCCTAGATGACTCTAGACTGCACTGAGTTCACAATTAAAACTACCAGGGGATGGAGAGATGGCTCAGTGGTTAAGAGCACTTCGTGTTCTTTCAGAGGACCGGGTTTAGTTCCCAGCGCACACATGGCCACTTAGGACTTTCTGTAACTGAAACTCAGCACTGCCTTCTGGACTCCATGAGCCCTGCATGCATATACTGCGCTGTATGCAATGCATGCTGGTTTGATCGCTAACCCCATATAAATTTGGTATGGTGGTTCACTCAGCACTCAAAATCTTGACTACATAGCAAGTTTTGAGACCAACCTGGAATACATAAGACTCTGATTCAATAGTAAAAATAACAACAATAAAACTGAAAGTAGTGTTATTGTTGGTTTTTAAATCAACAATACAAATAAAGTATTTAGAATTAAAAAAAAATCTTATTTCAGTCTTTCTTTGAGAGAAAGAGAATGAAGTACTGGGCAGTGGTAGCACACTCCTTTAGTGCCAGCACTCAGGAAGCAGAGACAGGCAGATTCCTGAGTTTGAGGCCAGCCTGGTCTATAAAGCCAGTTTCAGGACAGCCAGGGCTACATGGAGAAAACCTATCTTGAAAGAGAGAGAGAGAGAGAGAGAGAGAGAGAGAGAGAGAGAGAGAGAGGAAGGAAGGGAGGGAGGGAGGGAGGAAGAAAAGAGAATACAGAATGTCTGTGGCCTGGTGAAATAGCGCCAGCCTCCGAGCCTATGGATCTGAGCTGGATCCTAGAATCCAGATGGTGGAAGGAAGAGAACCATTTCAAGCAAGCTGTCCTCTAATCCACACATGTGCACCAGGCATGCACACATATATGTACACACACACGCACACACATGTACACACAATAAAATACATACACCTGTGAAAAAATAAAGACTCAAGTCTGGTTTTAAAAGTGAATATGGTCAGTCATGCTGGTATAAGCAAGAGACCTACTCTGGAGGCTCAAGTAGGAAGACGGTCCAGCTTGTGGTCAGCCGGTCTGAAGACTGTCCTGCTAAACTAGAGAGGGGCAGAAAAGCAGAGAGACAACCCCAGGGCTTCCCTCGTGCATGCTCCACAAACACTCTATCACTGGGCTGTGCCGATCCCTACAGTCTGATTCTCTGAATTCCCAACTGTTCTCACTCTCTTCCTTGACCATTCAATCTAGACTAATAGGGAGTAGTGAAGAAAGGAAGAAGGGGTGATATTAATTCACCACCGGGATCCCGGTGTGTTGTTTACTTGGAAATTTTCATTAATCTTTCTTAAAAGAACAAATGTTATTTTATATATCATAAATGTATAATCTTTATAAGAAATTCAAATAGCTGGGTGATGGTGGTGCACACCTTTAATCTCAGCACTCTGGAGGCAGAGACAGGCAGATCTCTAAATTCAACTCCAGCCTTGTCTACAGAGGGAGCTCCAGAACAGGCAAGGCTACACAGAGAAATTCTGCCTCAAAAAACCATCATTATCATCATCATCATAATTCAGATATTCCCAAAATGCTTAACTTAGGAAATGAATGCCTAGAAAAACCACACTGAGAAGTAATCTCTGAAAAGAGTATTCTGGCATAAACTTCTAAGCTTCATTTGTTATTGTTATTATTTTTAGATGTAGTCTTACTCATTGGTCAGCTAGCCTTGAACTCATAATACTCTCAGCTCAGCCTCTGAAGTTGCTGGGGCTTTAGCACATATACCAAACCGAGCTGAGATCCTTGATGCACATTTTAACTTATACATTAATTTGAATATAAGCTAAGTAATTAACAAGCACCTATAGTACATATTCATATTATGCAAGATTACATAAATGTTAACTTTGCAAAAATGTAGCTTTACATTCATTCAATTCATTCAATACCTACTATTTTCACACATACTACCCTCATAAAAATAAAGATCGCTTTATGCTTTTGCATGTCGTTTTAGTGCAGGGACCACGCTAATCTCTGTATCCTTCCAATTTTAGCATATGTGCTCTCCCATTTTATGAACTACTTCATGCATTCAGGCAAGGGCACTACCACTGAGCAGCAACCCCAGGCTCAAAGGATCTTTTTCTTACCCTAATGTGCCCATCCTCAGTGTTCAGTGAAGCTTGAGACTTTTCAGGGATCTCTTTCTACGTTTGTGATTCACACCCATGAGATTCCTAACTACACTAACTAAGGAACTGGGAAAAATTCACAGATGACAAATTTAACAGGACCCCAAAGCTCCTGAAATCTCTCACTTCTTAATCCTTCTGTGAGGCAGAGGCAGAGATTCACACCTTCTGGACAGAGTTTATACCTGGCTGCCTTTTCATCTCTGATGGTTTGGGGAGCAACTTGAAAAGAGCAGATAAAGACGATTTCTTTTTTTGCATTCCACCCCCAGCCACAGCAACAGCTGAGCTGTGCCTTAATTGTACCCTTCACCTCGAAGATGTTACAGATATCTAGAGGTAGTAATTACTCCAACACAGAGAACACTAAGGAAGCATAAAACACGGTGAGATGTTTGAAAAAGCAGAATGTAAATTCAGATATGGTTTTTCATTGCTGACTGTTGTAATTTATGCTTTGTTTTATTTATTGAGTAAGGGTCTCTCAATATACAGTGAAAGCTTGCCTGGAACTGTCAAGATTTCTGCCTCAGTTTCCCATGTACAGGTGTGCATGACCACACCCAGATATTGTTATTTTTTTCTATATATTTCTCACCTGGATTCTGAAGATATTTCTAGAAGCAATTTGGTTTCTATAATAGAATAGAGAAGAAATATAATCATGAATTTCTTCTTTTAATATTAATTTTATGTTTATGTGCCTGAGTATATGTGCACTACATGTGTGCAGAAACCCACAAAAGTCAGAAGAAGCCTTAGATTCCCGGGAACTGGATTTACAGGTAGTTGTGAGCTATCTAGTGTGGGTGCTGGGAACCCAGGTTGTCTGCAAGAGCAGCAAGTGCTCTTAATTACTGAGCCATCTTCCCAGACCCTATAATTGATTTCTTAATTGAATTCTATGTATATTATATAATTTATCCTTATGATATACAATATACAAATTTGAGGGCATAGCTTATTAGTATAATACTTGACAGACATATGAATGATCATGGGTTATATTACTAGGACTACAAAAGATTACAATGTATACAATGCATTGGTCTTTAGTATATTCAGAAGTAACCATTAACCAGTTATCCACATCACTGATATCTAGTTCCGGAACATTTTCAATAGTCCAAGAATACTGTACCTATTAGGTTCATTCTTCATTCCTTACTCTCTTTCCTTAATACTCCTGGCCAATACTGAAGTAGTTTTAAGCTCTACATATTTGCCTTTTCTAGCGATTTCTTAGTAGAAATTATATAATATGTGACCTTCTGTGTGTCTGGCTTCTTTGACTAAGCACAGTGTTTCCAAGGTTTATTCATGTGTTGCATGCATCAACACTTCATTCCTCTTGAGGGCATAATTATTTTCCACTGAGGGTACACAACACATTTTGTTTATTGATTTACCAGTTTATTAGCATTTAGATCATTTCAGGATTGTTTTTAGTTCTGATAATGCTACTGTGCACATTTGTGTGAATATTTGTGTGTTGGCACTGTTTTCAATTCTGTGGGGTATAGATATCTAGGAGTGGGATTTCTAGGTTATATGAGAACTCTTAAGTGATTGCCAATTTTATTCCTCCAATGACTGTATCACTTTACAGTCCTACTAGCCATACATTAGGGTTCCAATTTCTCTGAATCTCCAAAGGTTCTAGTGTCTAATGTTTTTAGCTACAATTATAACCATTTATTCCAGTACATACTAAGTGGTGTTGTGACTTCTACTAATTAGTATGTCTGAGAATATTTTGTGTGCACAGTGGACACATGCATCATTTGGGAAGGGTCTGAACCTTTGTTCTTATTAATTCATTTCTGTTTTTGTTTTGTTTTGTTTTTTGAGACAGTAGCTCTGGCTGTCCTGGAACTCACTCTGTAGACCAAGCTAGCCTCAAACTCACTGAGATCTGCCTGCCTTTGCCTTCCAAGTGCTGGGATTAAAGGTGTGCCACCATGCCCAGCTATGTTTAACTTTATAGACCAGCTTTGAATGTCTTCCTTTCTGTATGTCTTTCCCCCCAAGACAAGAGCTCATGTATCCCAGACTGAGCTCGTGCTTGTTATGTAGCCAAGAATGAATGATTTCCTGTCTTCCCAACTCAAGTGCTGTAGTGTGTACCATTGTGGCCTGTCTTTCTGCCCATTATCTGAAAAGGTTGTCAAATTATATTAATTATAATATAATTTGTCAAATATGTGAATGTTAGTCATTTATATATGGTTTGTAAATATTCTCTTCTGTTCTTCAGGTTGTCTTTTCACTTTCTTGGTATTCTTTGAAGCACAAAATCAAAATGTTTGTCTTGGGGGGATTATAAATTTCTCATTCTTTTTCACAAAAGATTAAACAACTTTTAATAATAAAACAGGTTTGTTTGGTCTTTTGCTTCATTTTGTTTGTCTTTTCAAGACAGGGTTTCTCTGTAGCTTTGAAGCCTGTCCTGGAACTAGCTCTTGTAGACCAGGCTGGCCTTGAACTCATAGAGATCTGCCTACCTCTGTCTCCAGAGTGCTGGGATTAAAGCATGTGCCACCACCGCCAGGCAGCAGTTGTTTAAGTCCTTTGGGAATCCAGGCATGGCAACCCATGCCTATGATCCCTGTGTTTTAGAAGCTGAAACAGTAGTATTGCCATGAATTCAAGACAGTCAGAGGTATATAATAAGCTCTAGGCAGCAGCCCGAGACCCTGAATAAGACCTTCGTCTCAAAACAAAATTATTGTGGCTGGAGAGATGACTCTGTGCTTAAGAGCACTGTCTGCTCTTCCAGAGGACCTGGGTTGGAGTCCCAGCATCCACACAGTGGCTCACACTTTGTAACTCCAGGTTTCTAGGGAATTCACCACCCTCTTCTGGCCTCCACAGGCACTGCAGGCGTGTGGTGTGCAGACACCAGGCAGGCAAAACACCCATGTGTATAAAATAAAAGTAAAGGAAGAAAAACAAATTGATGAAAGAAATTTAAATCCTTGAGGATCTGAAAACAGGGTAATGTTTTCTAACTCACAGTGTACAGTTTCATAGAATTCTATAGCAAACAGGAAAGTAATTCAGGAGTACATTCCAAGGAAAATAAGAAAAAAATGGAGAAGTAATTAACAGGCAAAACATTTAATGGGCAGAAAATTAAATTTCATATAGTTGCTATGTAAGAATAAAAAAACCTGCAATTTATTTTGACTTTTACACATACCTGTAAGTGCATATAAAGCAGATAGTTAGAGGCTATTACATGAAACACAGCTGAAAGAAAATCTGTCCCGCTGAGCTGAGAGGGACTGAAAGGGAATCAGGGTTGATTGCTTGGGTTAATGGGCTGGCGTCCAGAAATGACGAATGGCTACATTAAAGAAGTTATTACCTTTATATGTTGAATGATTGCCGGTGATGTTTTAAATAATAAGTGTGGCTCTCGAAATAAAGCTTTCTGATTAATTCCTCATCCCTCTTTGAAATCCTTGGTAGTTAAAACTGACTTCAATATAACTCTGGAACGTTTAAGGAAGTTCATGGGCGCACACAGAGTTAGCAGTTTATAAATTTTCTTTATTTCACAGAGGAAAACAGGCACAGGGACTGGTTACCTCTTCTGCGGTCGTCCTGATGAAAATCTCCTGGGTGTGTTTCCTCTTTGTAAATACACTCCACCAAACTTACAGGAACACGCAGATACTTAAAGGAGAAAAGGTTCCTGGTGGGCAGGGAAGGCTAAAATTTGAGGGGGCTGGAAGGAAAGTTGGGGTCAGTAAGACAAGCAAGAAGAGAAATATGGGGTCAGAAATCTATTCAAGCAGTCTTCTTAAAAGAATTCAGAACTTCAGCAGAATTAAACATCCTGCTTAAGCCTCAGGACCTCACACATGGCAAGCAGCTCTGTCGCTCAGATACACCCTCCACCCACCTGGGAATTTTTATGTGCTTAAGGAAAGAATTACATTCTCAAACCTCACCTCAGTCTGCAATGGGGGACGTGAAAAGATGACAAGAGCGTTTGACATAATGTGATCGTAACAAGATGCCAGCGGCTGCATACCTTGCAGAGTGCTTGTAAATTTGAAGCTGTGTGTATTCTTCAGAGAATCCTCTAACTGTCCTGGATGAGCTGAAGAAAATGTTTTACCGGCACCTAGGGAAGTCGTGTGCTGGACACTGTCCATCACTGCGACAGAATCCCCGAGAAAACAATGTAAGAGGGAGACATGTTTATTTCGGCTCACAGGCTCAGATGTCTGTGACCCGCTGGCTCTACTGCTTGAAGCTTGTGGCAAGGCAAAATGTCATGTCGGACAGTCGTAGTGGGAGAAGGATGCTCAGCTCATGGTGGAGAGGAAGTAAGATATGACCCCCCACTACCTGCCTCCACTTCCACTAAGTAGGTGCTACTTCCTAGCTTCCTTCCATAGCCGCTTTATGATTTGCAAGCTCTTTATGACCCACAAACTGGGGACCGAGGTTTCAAGAGTCTTGGGTGTGTGTCTGGTGGGGGGGGCGGTCATTACAGATTCAAGCCATAGCAACTAACCAAAAACACTAATGTGCACTGGGTCAGTGAGAGTGCTTCAGTTGTGAACACTTAATAAAACTCATCCCCATGAATCATGTTCACAAACAATAAGGACATTTACTATGCTCCCAGACAAGGAAGTTCTGGGCTAGGCAGGGTTGATTGATGTTATTAACAAAGAAATAAAAACGAGAGGGGTCTTCTATTCTTCCGGTGTGCCATAGCAGGTCACCTGCTGCCCTCGGACAGTGGGAAAATAACTAGTAATCCTTGACATCAGAACCCAGATGTGCTGGCATGCAGAGAAAGAAGACCCCCTTGCACAAATGAGAAAGTCCTTTTAAGAACCCCACAAGACTGGTCACATGTTTATTT